GAATTCTGGTTTTCCCAGGTCAGCAAAACCGTGAGGCTAACCCTAATTATTTGCATTTTAAATGCACAGGCACATGTATAGCATTCCACAGTCTCCCTGGACTAGGAAAAAAAGTAGTAGCAACAATAAAAGATGGTAGCATAGTTTACATTCCAATTTTAGCTAACCTAAACCATACATTTCAAGACAGGCAGATATGGTAGCTGGTGTGAGACCTAAATTCTCACCCTTCAGTTGTACACCTTAACTACGGTCCTGTATTTCCAATCATACTAATAAAACAAAGAATTCCAATATTGTACAATCATCTAAGGTAGCATTTTGTTCTTAACAATTTCAGGAATATTAATTTTGGTAATTTACTGTAGTTCTAAAACCGGTAAATAATTTTAAAACTTGCATGTGAGTCCAGTTGGTAGAAAGACTGCTCTAGGCCAGTTAACAGTTTTGCTATTTGGGCCAAGCATAGAACTGGTGTCAGCGGCATCAACTAAGGTTATAAACTTGCATCTTGGGAGCCACTCTTGGGAATGGCCTTCAGCAAGTAAAGGCCTTCCTCACTAGCATACCATTGGGGGAGCTACCCAACACCTCTTGCACCTTTAGTAACAGTTCCCTGGATATACATGGTAGAAGACAGAGCAGGGTGGCACCTTACAGACTAACTCTATAAAGACCCTATCCTGCCTTCTGTCTCACCTCAAACTAACATGGCTAACTGTCTCACTATACATTATAGAGAAAGTGAAAACTTAGATCTAGGTTATTCAGAGACCTAAAGCAGAGGTCCGTGAAATAATGAATACTGTGTAAGATGACAAAGGTCATCAGTTTATGTGCTTTAATGCTTCTATCTTCTACTGGAACTTAAAAAGAAAATGGAAAAGATTTATCACTTTGACACTGAAACCTCTTCTTCTCATCTAATGTAAAAACTGTGTCACCTGTCCATTCAGAATTTGGGGCCAGAACTGTCTTCTCTTTATTTTGTTTGTCTCCATGCACTATAACAGAACTTACTAAATAATTCGTTAAAGCATGGCATGCTAAGAGAATGTTTTAGCAAAGCACTCAGTATATATGTAACTTATAGCATGTGAATGATTCCACCAAAGTCGCAAAGGGCTATTCGTATACTTAAAATTAAGCTTTTGTTGAAATGCTTTATATGTTAGTACCTAAAGTGTCAGATTACAGTTCTCTGCCCAAACTCTTCTAAGTGAATTATTAAACCACTTTAGAACTAAAAAGTAAGAATAGAGGGGAAGGCTGGAAAAATTACCCTTGCTACTATTAAATTGGAAGACGGGGTACCAGAAAAGTTAAGTACAGCAGAGTAAAACTGATACATCTTAGTAAGTTTTAGTCTCCTGCTCCTGTTAGAGCAAGAGTGGGAACCAAGATTGGCTCCCAAAGAACTGGAAAGGGAAGAGAGTGGTGCTGTTCCCCTCCCAAAAAAGGACCAAACTTGAATGTATCTTAGCATTCCACACAGATTTCTCAGGTTTTTTTCATTCTTCTCTCAGCAGTAGAGACTAGACCTCCACCTGCGCCTTATTTTTAAAACCTAATGAACTACAGTAGAAGCTAGTCAGTAAAAGCAAAGCTGAATTAAAAGAAGTTCTTGTACACAACGTCGTTTTCTTAAAACAAGTTTCCAAAAAATTTTTTAAAAATAGCAGCAGCTGGTATTTACCTTTCATAAGGAAGATAAATGCAACAGGTGGAAAACAATTAGGCTTGTGATGCAAAAACAAAGCAAAGCAAATTGTCTACATTTAAATTCAAGGATTATTGGTATCTATGTATAAAAGACCAGTTTCGCAGTCTTAGGATAGTACTCAGCCAAGAGGAAAATAGTCCCCCTAGTGTACTCTTTATGTAGGAAGGACTACATTTCACAGGCTACTGTTAGAAGAAATCACAAAAATAACATTATGGGGAGAGATACCAAAGTATCTGCAGAAGCTACAGTGAAACTAGGCACTCTTCCAATCCATACACAGAGGGGCTTGTAGTTTCCATTTCAGGGCATATTAAGCAAAGAAAGTTACTGAGTCCTGAACATTTTAATAAAGTTAATAAAAAGCAATGGTGACAGTGATTTTGTGCATGCACAGTTTTAGTGCAAGACTCTGGAAATTAGATACTCTAGTTTACAAAACTGCCACAGATATAAATCTGGTGAACAAGAAACTACAAAACACACCTTACATATAATTCACTTAAATGTGTGACATTACATACTGCAGCATGCACACTCTCCCTCAAAGATTTTTTCACAGAAAACAAGAAGTTAAAATGTTCACTTTTTTAACTATCCACAAAGCAGTGGACAGGTACCGAGTCATGTATCTGAATCATTGTCTAATGGTCTAGAAGTGTACAAGGTAGTGTTAAAATGGCTTGCACATGGATATACTAGAGTGCACGGCATATGTTGGGTCTAAGGAGATTTACTGTGCTATTCTCTAGTTACCCATCAGCCAATATTAGATTAGCTAACGTTCCACCAGGGCATGGGGAGCAAATCAGCCTTAGTGTGTGAACCAGGCAAACCTTATCTGAATGAGAGGAAAAGCAATATTTGCCTTCCTAATCACAACTGAATATTCACTTCTGCTTTAATACTATAGACCAAAAAAACAAGCCAAACCAAAACACAGCTGCATGAGAGTCACAACTTTATAACTTTTAAAATAATTGTTTTGGGAAGAATAATCCCAGCTATTTTATAGCTTATGTTTTTATCACAGGTATCATTGGAAGCGAGATTAATATTTGATATATAATAATATGTTTGATGAGAAAAAATCTTCTTCCCTTTGTTTAAAATGACAATTTTCCATTGTGATGCCAGAGGGGAATATCATTGCTAAATGTGCTCCTTGTCTTCAAAAATGAAATGATTTCTGGAAAAATATTTTAGACAAAGGGAAAAAAATTATGATACAGAAATATCTACCAGACTTGAAATGTCTGTTTCCCTCTGATTTCCAAACATCCAGCATGAAAAACTGGTATCAGTCACAAAGCTGTTACACATAAGGGAAACAAAGCTGGTAAAAAAAAGATAGAATATGTTTTAGGTACTGAAGAGAATAAAGAGCCTCTCTTTAACAGCAGTGGCTTTACACAAATTAATGTTCTAATCAAGAAGCAGATCCTTAAAAGGACCTCTAGCCCCTGCAGGAATTAAACTCATCATCAGGCTGGGATGCCTGGCAAATTATTAGCACCTGACCTCTTCTTTGCCCTGTTCACCAGGCCTCTACCACCCACAGGCAAAATACACACTGATTGTTAAGACAATCAAATGGGTCACCATCAGTGGTAAAGACAACTTGCCCTCAACACAAAGCAAGATTCTGAATTTTTACCACGTATATATGCATCCTCTGATGAGAAAGTTCTGAACTAAACTCAGTGAAATCTCAAAGGAACCAACTTTTTAACATTTTAATTAGCTCCAAGTACCAATTAATGCTGCTCAGAAATGGAATCAATATCAAATTAACAGTATAAATTGTCAGAAAAATTGCAACTCTATTAAGCATACTAATCAATGCCAGCACTGCATTATGGCCCAAATCCTACTTCTCCTGAAGTCAATGGGAGTTTTATCACTCATTTGAATGCAAGTGGTATCAGGCTTTTTGCCTTACAAACTTGTTCTTTTGGTTGGTCTGAAACAGTTTCCTGAAAACTCAAAAGTATAAAAGACTGGCTTTGTCATAACAGATATGATATGAAAACAGCTGAGGTCTGAAAACCATACTTTGCAAATGATAGCAAGCTACCACAGGAAAGCCAGGAGTGTCATATTAGATTTCTACATGGTGCTTGTACTGTCTCATAAAAATGTGCTATGTAAAACAGGCCTCAAAGCTTAAAACTACATCTGTGGCTTTGAAACTCGAGGCTTGAATTTGGAAAGCTACTGGTCTTGTTTTAATTAAAACATTTCTCCTGTGTCAAACGCAACACAAACACTTCTCCTGTAAAGTTCCATTTGGAAGGGGGGAAGTCGTTTACATACCACCCTTATCACGTCTCAAACATGAGAATGAGTTTTGGGAATCCTCCAGCTTAGACTATTTTCATGTGATCTATCTCTGCCTAGTATGCAAACTCTACCCAGTGTGAGAAAACAGAAAAAAGGTGATGGGAAATGTCATTCCTCATCGATCGGATCAAAGTTCCTCAAAAAATCCTCCTCCTGGCATTGGGTCAGATGCTCAACCGTAAAGACTTGCAATACTGGCACCGAGCTGCTACTGAAGAGAGCCAGCCTTTTCCTCCTTGCTAAATAGCCACCCTGCATCATGCCAGTGACACTGCTTTCTGTGCAGCTGGAATGCTTAAAAGACGGGGCATGTGTCATATGCACAGAAGAACACGCAATAAATACTGAAGGCAACCAGTTTTGGGGGGGGAGCGCAGAAAGAAAGAAAGAAAGAAGGATGAGAAGGAAAGGAGAGAAGGAAAGGATGGAAGACAGGAAAGAATGAAGAGAAAGTAGACAAAGAAAGAAAGAAGTTTGGCTGTCTAATATTAGCACGGGAGTGTGTGTTCTTTTAAAGAAAGGAGCTCCAGTTATAAAAACAAAACTGCCTGGACCCCATGTGCTTTCAAAGGCAGGAGGTAAACAACCTGCAAGAAAAGCGGATCCTGTCTCCCTTCCCTCTGGGTCCGGACCGGATCCCGGCTGCTCGGACGAGTGCCCAGAGTGAAGGGGGAGAGAGAGATGGGCAGGGCGGTGTGTTTCTGCAGCAGAAGGGTCCCCCAGCTGCCCTAACACGTAGGAAAAGCCAGACAACTATCAAGGGAGGCGGGGGGGGGGAGAAAAGTCTCTGTTTGGAGGAACTCCCCAGCGGCTGAGGAGAGCAGGTGGCCCCCGCCGCCCTCCCCCCGCTCGTCTCGCAGGGGCCGGGGAGGGCGCCCCTCAGCAGCAGCAGCCCCCAGCCCAGCCCCTCGCGGGTCGGGTGCCCCGCTCCTACCTTCCAGCCGGCCGAGCTGTTGCTGTCGCCCTTATCCTTGAAGTAGGGCACGCAGCGCACCATCCAGTCGTAGATCTGCGAGAGCGTGAGGCGCTTGTCCGGGGCGCTCTCGATGGCGCGGGTGATCAGGTCGGCGTACGACAGGTTGCCCCACGCGTTGCGCCGCGACGAACACTTGCGCGGGACCGAGGAGGCGGCGGCAGTGGCGGCGGCCCCCGCGCCCGGCCCCGCGCCCAGCC